GGGGGGCTTGGAGGCCGGCCCGAGCTGAGCGTGGACACAAAAGGGTCCTTGTCCACCTCTGGCCAGGCCCAGGCCTCTGCGGGCTCCACACCCTGCGACTGCTATTGGGCAATGTGTTTGCCTCTGGGCTGAGTGAGGGCAGCAGAGCAGAGGAAACAAATTATTTATCAGAAAAACTCAAAGACTTACCCACTCCTAACGGTGCCATCACAGGCCCTCAAAACCGGGCATTGCCCCACGGCTTCCTGTGGGGACCCTGTGCCAGAAGCCTTCCTGCCCGGAGACAACACCCACCCACTCGGCAACACCGTCTCCACGGTCTCCCGAGGTCGCTGAGGCCCCGGGCAGCTTCACCCGAGGTCTCACCGTCTGTCCACCTGCCCCTGAGCCCCGAGCGCCCACACGGTGAACACAGGACCAGACCTGGCGTCCAGCGTTGCCCACTGCCCTGCTCTCCGGCCTGCGCCTCCTCTTCGTTGTGTGCGCTGGTGCCTGGCGGCCACACTGATCAGAGCAAGAGGGGCTCAAATTTCTGATAGAAGCACCTTCCCCGCAAGGTTTCTACAGCCGCTTCTGCGTCTGTGCCCGAGGGATGGGCCTCCAAACAGCTGCCACAACGGATTTTTCTCTGAGACACACACACAGACACGCACACACACACACACAGACACACACAGAGACAGACACACACAGACACACACAGACATGCACACACAGAGAGACACACACAGACACACACATACACACACAGACCCACAGAGACACACAAACACGCACACACAGACACACACACAGACACACAGACACGCACAGACACACGCACCCACAGACACACAGACACACACAGACACACACACACACACAGACACACACAGGGACACACACAGAGACACACACAGACACACACACAGAGACACACACACAGACACACACAGACACGCACACACAGACACACACACAGACACAGACACACACACACACTTCTAGTCTTTGCAAAAAGAAAGAGAGCAGATGGCGCGTGGGGAGGCTCTGGGCACAGGACGCCCGGCAGAACCTCAGCCTCAGCCCCTGTGCGTGGCCTGGTCGGCAGAGAACAGTAAGTCAAGGCGGCGGACACGCTGGTCTGGGGGCCCCGCCCTGTGCACCATAAACACAGCAAATAGGAGAGAAATCGAAATATTTAGGGCCTCTGCGCCA